CAAATATCACGGTTGTGGAGTGAATATTACGAATGTAAGGGACTAAAACACTAAATCGGATGAAACATATATATGGTTGCTATATCTATATCTGAACTGATTTTCACTAAATTTGATATACTTGCTTCTAGGCTGAATTTGGTCCGATGTACTAAAATTCAGTCCATTTGGACTTATATCGGCCATTTGGTGCACAATTAACCCGAAATCGGATGAAGATATATATGGGAGCTATATCCAAATCTGAACCGATTTCGATAAAGTTACAAACAGCTATTTCTGGGCTGTATCTTTTATCTGGTACCAAATATCATTCTTGTGGAGTGCATATTACGAATGTGAGAGGCTTAAACACCAAATCGGATAAAACATATATATGGGAGCTATAGCTGTTTCTGAACCGATTTTCTCCAAATTTGTTGTATTTGCTTTAAGGCTAATCTCGGTCACATGTGCCAAAATTCGGGCCATTTGGGCTGATATTGGCCATTTGGTGGCCAATTAACCCGAAATCGGATGAAGATATATATGGAAGCTATATCCAAATCTGAACCGATTTCGATAAAATTTAAAACAGCTAATACCTGGTACCAAATATCACGGTTGTGGAGTGCATAGTAGGAATGTGAGGGACTTAAAGATCAAATCGGATGAAAAATATATATGGGAGCTATAGCTATATCTGAACCGATTTTCTTCAAATTTGATATACTTGCTTCTAGGCCGAACTCGGTTGGGTGTCCCAAAATTCAGGTAATTTGGACTGATAGTGGACACTTGGTGCACATTTAACCCGAAATCGGATGAAGATATATATGGGAGCTATATCTAAATTTGATCCGATTCTCACCAATTTCAATAGGGTTCGTCCATGGGCCAAAAAATTATTGTTTGGAAAATTTCATCTCAATCGGATAATAAATGCAACCTGCATTTTGTTCACAAGAATACATGGACAGACGGACGGACGGACGGACAGACGGACTGACATGCATAAATCGACTCAAAAAGTGATTCTATGAAGGTTCTCAAAAGTAACTATGGGTCTATCTCGTTTCCTTCTCCATGTTACAAACAAATGCACAAAGACATAATACCCTTACCACTATGTGGTGTAGGGTATAAAAACATATTCTATGTCACTAGCACCATAGAACAAAATTGGAGCGAAGTCACTTTAGTATATTGGGCATAACATACAAATCTGACAAAATCTGAAAGTTAACTTAGCACCTTTTGAATCTTAGGACCATTACTAATGGCGTGAAAAAAATCACATTGGAGGATTCAGGGGGGAAAACAATTAAAACTTTAACTGAAATCCAATTTTATTTTCAAAATTAATCTTAAAGGCAACTCAGATCACTCACATCGTCTATATTATAAACAACTACTAAACACACAAATTACTGCACTAAAAATAAGTCAATACCTTGCTTTTCAATAATTATGCCAAGAATTGTCATTTTAAAATGTATTTAATTTTGTAATACCCACTGAAAAAAGCAACTAACTACATTTTCTCTTTTTTGATGCTATTTTCGAAGTGTCCCGTTAGAATGAAGCCAAGATTATTATGTTTTCTAAAAAGCTTAACCTCTTAAGAGTTCATGTGTACACATTTGACAATAAATATCTGATTTTCATTTTTTGAGTTTTGGCCAATGGCAGCGACCACTGTGCACCGGTTGTGGAAACTATCTTGAACTACAAATACCGAATTTTGAACATATCTGATAGAAAATTTGGCAGCATCCGTTATGTGGGGGCTATAGGAAAATATGGACTTATATAGACAATATTATGCCTCAAAATGTAGCCCCCTTAACAAATTTGTAAAAAGAAATTTAAAAAAATCGTTAAAAATGTGGTTAAAATGACCAAAACTCCGGATATCGGGAGGTTATCTTGGCGCTATAGGAAAAAGTCGACCCATATATACAATGTTCTGGTGTTAGAACCCATTACGAACTACAAATACAACATTTTACAAAATTCCGTTAGAAAAAGTATATTAAATCGTCAAAATACCGACTATTTGAATATACCATTATATTGGTGTTATAGTAAAACACGGACCTACACAGAGTGTGTTAAGCCACCAGATGTAGAACTTGTAATACTTAATTTAGAATAATTCCGACTTTCAGTATTAAGTTATAGATTTTGTAATGTTTTTTTTTTTTTTGAGTGGTTGTGACATCGACCCGCAATTGTCCAAAACTCATCTATGTGGAGCTTATATCAAAAGAAATGGCAAATGTCCATCCATTTAGAATCCAATTACCATTTTAATTGCAGTCCATTCGGCGAGAAATTGGCATTGGAATCAGTGAAGTGCTAAATATCAAGAAGAACTCATATATGGGACCATATCAAATTGTGAATTTAAATTCTCTGCGAACCTGAAAATAATTTGATTGGAAAATACTTCTCAAAACGTCAAAATATAAAAAAACCTACATTACCAATAAGACCAATAAGAGAAAATATGGCAGAACATGCAATATGAAGAGTGTCAGTTAGTTCATCATAGAAATAATCTATCAATCTATATCTATCTATCTATCTATCTTCTTAAACTAAGTTTAAATTGGAGTGCATTTGATTGGAAACTGTTTCTAAGATTTTGTAATACAAATTATTGAGATAAAACGTAGACATTTTTTATTGATTAATCTACGGCTATGTGGCTGAAAGCTGTGATTAGATCCTGTAAAGCACTTGAAATAGGCTGGCACCAGACCAATGTAGAGATTTTTAGATCAGGTCTTAAACGTTTCTTCTAAATCTTGTAACCACACCCACGTAAATATTACAATCTTTCTCCACTAATAAACCAACGTTGTTTTTATAAAAACAACAACAATGGAATTGACCCTACCTATCTTGCAACAAGAAACCAGTAAAGAAAATCTTAAAGTCGAGCTTCACATAACAAATAAAAGTTTTAATGGGGAATTTGTGAGAATTAAATCACATCAACTATGATTATAGTAATAATTAATAGTCCAAAGGAACTAATATATGGGAGAAATATCCTCCTCTGAATCAATTTCTACTAAATTTGTCGAGGCATTTGCGCCTTTTCAATTCGGGCTTGTATTATCCATTTGATGCATCTGAACCGATCTCGATAACATTTGGCAAAGGTATTTCTGACCTGTATTTGATATATTTCACCGAATATCGTTACTACGGAGTCCATATTACGGCTATGCAGGGCAAATTCAACAAATCGGTTGAATAATATGTACGGGAGCTATAGCTATATCTGCACCGATTTCCACCAAATTTGACGTACTGGTTTCTAGACTAAATATGGTCGTAAGTTCCAAATTCCATTCCATTCACGCTAATATTACACATGTAGTGCACAATAAAAGGCAAATCGGACGAAGATATATATGGGAGCTATATCCAAATATTAACCGATCTCGATTAAATTCAGCAAGGGTATTTCTGAGTTATATTTGATATATTTCCCCAAATATCGTTGTTACAGAGTGCATATTATGGCTGCGAAGGACAAAAATAACAAATCGGATGAACAGTATATATGGGAGCTATAGCTATATCTGAACCGATTTTGATCAAATTTAGCACACTTATTTCCAGGCTTAATTTGCAAAATTCCATACTATTTGGTCTGATATTACACGTTTGGTACACAATATAAGGCAAATTGGACGAAAATATAGATGGGAGCTATACCCAAATTTTGACCGATTACCTCCAATTTCATTAGGGTTCGTCCTTGGGTCAAACAAATTATTTGTGCAAAATTTTATCTAAATCGGGCAATGAATGCGACCTGTACTTTGTTTACAAAAATACATGGACACGCAGACAGACATACATAAATCGACTCAGAATGGTATTCTATGAAGATCATCAAAAGGAACTATGGGTCTATCTCGTTTCCTTTTGCCTGTTACAAACAAATGCACAAAGACATAATACCCTGAACACCTTGTGGTGCAGTGTATAAAAAGTTGATCAAAATATATATATGTTGCGGGGTCTGTGCCTTTTTCGAGGACTGTCAAACGGAATGACAAACTTATAAAACAGGAAACACAATCATATGGTGTTTTGAATACCAAACATCTGTTAAACCAAATTGCGAATTGAAAATTACCTTTAATTTGCATTTAGTATATAATGATATATTACATACATCATAACACTGCTCAAAATGGAATAATTCCTTATATTAGCAGACAGGAAGTGCATATATCGTCATTGATTTTGTGAAATACATACTTTCGTAGGGCTTCTCAAAACTTGGGCACGGTCGAAGTGGCTCTACACACTTACCAACAGCAAGCAAATTAACGTTTGTATTATCGTTGTGAAATAACACAGAATTAAAGTCATGCATTCGAACATTGCGGTAACCGCAGATGCAAGGTTGAATCACAGTTACGGCCGAATACACTGCAGATACAATTCCATGTGTTCAATGCCGACGAAACCAAAATAGTTGTAGACCTCTAGGTGATGGATCATATGTACACGCTATTTGTTCGGCATTCATCAATGTGATATGAATTAATAAATCGGCTATTTCATTTTCATTCTCAGTCTAGAATACACTGTTCATTAGTGAAGTAGTGGGTGAGTGATAAACGTTTAATTTTGTCATCAAAGTGCGCGACCGCAATACAAAAGTTTGGAGCAAATCTATTTAAAACAAAGGAAAAGATCGGATCGGTTTTTCACACATTTATCCTATGCATGCACTTAACATGGTTGGGATTTTTTAGATCAGCAGTTATCCAAATCCTTTTGGGTTTGAAACTCATAAGAACCTCCTACTGGCCTACTAAGTCCCAACATATTGAGTGTGCTACATAATATGTTAACCATGGCCTATCACAAATTGTTCACAAGTGGACGCGTTTCTGCGCTAAATTGGAATTTTCATGTGGCATTGGTTTTCGGAGAAATCGCTAATGCCCTTTAAAATTTCAAATAAAAGCATAATTCGTACTTACGGTCATTACTTCGTTCTCCCACTGATCGGCCCTTTTCTTGACGGAAAATTGTAAACTATTCTTTGCGGAGTCATCCCTCATCTTCCCGCACATTACAAAACGATACTGCGAATACTTCTTAAAAATGTTGAGACATCACAAAATCTGTTTCCTTGTAATTAATTTTGTGTTGAATATATACAAACAAATAACTAGTTAAAGTGAAATGATGAAAGTCACAACAGCAAAAAACGTAAAATAAAAATTTATTTATTATTGTCGCATTTGTCGAAATATTAGATGTGTACGATAACTTTCCCACGAAATTTTGCTCAGTAAATTACAGCAAAAGAATTTTCCCTAGTTTTTAATTGAAAATGCCTACTTTTTGTCGAAATAATTAAAATATTCACAATTGTTCATCACCGGCACAAATTTTTTACTTTATAACTCAACTGGCAAAATTGCTCTCATCACTCTCTCCACTCACTGGACTTTTGGATTATCGAACAACAACCAGTAATGATACGTACACATTTTTAGAATATCGGGCCATCGTAAGCAGGTATTGTTTCAACGTGACTACCGTTATAAAGATTGAACAGCCTCGACTGACGTTGGAAATTAAAAAGCAGAATGAAATACGTTCCGTAAAGGTATGCCATTAGGTGTGTCTGCCTAATCGCATTTTGTAATTATAATTCGATAATTCCGAAAAATAAGAATGAAATGAGAATTTTTTTACAATTTTTAAACTATGAATAACATAATTTACTGGTTCAATAAAATTGTATAAGTTCAGACAGGTAGATGTGGATGAACACATTTTAAGACATTTTGTAAAATGATTTTTCAAATTCCCAATAAGATTTAAAGTTTTTATTGGATATCAAGTAAGCACTATTTTACTCTATCGAAAGAAATTGCTAAGTTAATATTACAGAAAAAGTACATAGACTGACTCATATCACCCATTTGGTGGTTGGGTAACTTACCCCGCGGTTACAAAAAAAAAAGAAACAAGACAATAGGGTTCATACAATACCAAACATTATCTATGTGACTTTTCTTTGTTCCAGAACTTGCAAGAAGTCTGGTATCATAAAGAAAAAATTGGTTATCGTAGTAACAGTTTTACAATCTTGCAGATTCTGGAACAGAGCATTGATGTGGTAAGTAATTGTTTTCATATGGAAGCAATTAAAAATGCGTTACGTTCGGCCGGGCAGAAACCGCCATGAGGTAAAGGAAACCTTAAAAAATAAAAATAACTGGACTTATATTCGGGCCAGTTTCATTTTTGGCAGTTAAATAGTGTGATAAAAAGTCTTCAATTGTTATGTGTTGCTATTCTATGGAAAAGTATGATTAAAATCACCAAAATACCAAATATTCGGAGTTACCTCTGCAACAGGAAATAGAACCCACTACGAACTGTAAATACAAATTCGGGGTGTCGTCAGTAAATGTGGCCGCTGTAACGATTCAATAATGACAAGTCATACCAAAGCAGGGACCTAAGTAGACAATTTTCTACCCTAAGGATAGTATTAAATACAAATAGCTGAATCTTCAAAATACCGAATACTATACGAAAACTTGGACATATTTAACATATTTCAATACCAATCATCTTAGCATTGTAAAAATAAATAAAAGTAATCAGATTTCATATTAGCATTCCCAGGTCTGCATTTTGTGTAATTTACTTTGTCAAATTTCAATGCATAAAAAACAGTTCCCATCTCTGATTTTGTGAGTATACTATGGATTTAGAATATAGATTTTGACAATGAGATGTTGTCAACTGTATAAATTTGAAAAAAGTGTAAACATATGATTACATGACTTTACCTTCTTGGTCGGTATCGTGATTGAAACAGACAGACAATTTTATGCTGATCATGAATATATATATATATATATATATATATATATATATACATATATATATATATATATATATATATATATATATATATATATATATATATATATATATATATATATAATATATATATATATATATATATATATATATATATATATATATATATATATATATATATATATATATATATATATATATATAATATATATATATATATATATATATATATATATATATATATATATATATATATATATATTATATATATATATATATATATATATATATATATATATATATATATAATTTGTGGGGTCAAACGTTATATGGGGCTAGACTACATTCCCTTGTTAGGTCGTTTCTGGAACTATTGCCGGTTCCGCTTCAAGGAAGGATTCCAGTTTTGACAAGACGGTTAAACCAAGGGCTTTTGCAGCATCTATTTTGGGAGATTACCAGTCAAAGCAGCGGTCTCAATGATCATAGTTCTCCCAAAGACTTCTTGTACCGAATAAGATCATAGATGATCGGTAAATGGTGATTATATTTCATTTGAATACAACTTCTTATCACTCTTTTTCTATTTGCAAGGAACAGCGTGATCCTGTCTAACAAGTGGAACATCGAGGCAAAAACTAAAGACTTTAACACCGTTTCTTTTCCACCGTAGCTTTCCAGAAGTCGAGAAGAAGGCCCAAAATGATGATTGCAAAGACTTCCAAACCCATTTTCTAGTGTCACTGACCTGCCTGAATCGAACTTGCTTGACACTTTATTTCTTTGAGTTAAGCAATTAAATAGACGATTGAATATCGAAAAGGTGAAGCGATGGATCGTACACAATAAAAAAAATAAAATTGCATCCATTTAATGTTTAATCTCTATTTTAAATATATTATTTTAGCTTACCACTCAATCGCAAACTTCAACTTTTACTACTACATTCTATTTATATAATTTACTAAAAACTTCGTTATTTTCAAGGGATTTAATATATATACAGGGTGAGATAAAAAAACTGCAACAAATTCAAACGCCATAGTTTTTTACATTCTTTTTATTTTATTGAATGAAAGCAAAAAATGTCGGAAATAGCATCAAATTTTAGAATAAGTTTAGACCTTTGGCACGAATTATGGCCTTCAAACAGCCAATGGAAACGTCACACGCTGTCCGAATGTTGCTCTGCGGTATTTTGGCCCATTCCCGGCGAAGCACTGATCGACACTTTCGTATTTTTTAGTGAAAACCTTGCTTTCCAAAATACTCCAGCGGAGAGAGACCATCGACTGTTATGGCGGCTCACACCATCACCATGGCCGACGATTGAGTTCTGGTGGCCAACCCAAGGTGCACATTTTCAGCTGAACTCATTGGCAAGTAAACACGATCATTTTGCTTGTTTACAAACTGCTGGAAAACGAATGTTTTCTCGTCGGAGAAAACCAAATTCGGCAGTTTACCACTTTCGGCCAAGCGAAGCCACTCCTAGCTCTTTTGAGTCTTCTTTCTTTTTGTTGGATTGTAAGTTCTTGCAATTTTTGGAATTTCAATGGTTTTACCATCAGCTTATTTTTCAATATTTGTTAGATGTAATATTGCGATATGTTCAGCTCACGAGCCATTTTTCGGCCACTGCGACGCGGGTTTCGATCAAGTCGCTTCTTTTCTTTTCGAACAATTTCTGGTGATGTTGCTGTTTCCGTTTCTTCCGTCCACTTCCTTGACGTCGGCCTACGCTACCAGTATTAAGGTAACGAGCGATGGTACGAGTCACGAAAGATTTATTCACATTTAATTGCTGGTGTGCTCTAACGATAGCCACTTGTGGTTTTTCAGCCAAATATAAATAAATCACACTATCATGCTTGAATTCCATCACGAATAACTTTTTTCTGGAAAATTCTCACCGAAATGCTTTTGTACGCTTGTAAACAATATAATACAATGAGCTGTCACAGGAATAATTTTAACAGCTGTCGGACGATTGGCTTAGAAATAACAGCAGACTGAATTTGGCTGCATTTTTTTCATCTCACCCTGTATATAAAAATCAATTGTTGTTCGTTAGTAATTCAAGCAGTTGAGAACGGCTGGACCGATTTGCGAAATTTTTTGTACAAACGTTCGTTCGACTTTTACTTTTACGTTCACTATTACGATTAATCTAAAATCCTTATATTTGCTTATCCTAAGTATTTATTTGTTGTCGGGGATTGATTAACAGACCTACTTCTTTAAAACCTCTGGACAGATTTTCCTGAAAATTTCCAACATCGCCTGAAATTAACATATAAATTTTTGAAATTCCACTTTGAACTGGAGATATACATACCATCACAATCGGAGGTACCTCCCAAAAATTTAGATTTTGTATGCATCGATTACAGATGCAGTCCCCAAATTTGGAATGAGTGACGGAATTTTTTCAGAAAATATATTTGCTAAATTTTATTGAAATCAGTACAGATTGGTATATATCTCCCATAAATATTTTCGACCGATTTCAGAAATTTGAGGCGCCAAACACTATACGTATGTCCGATTCCAATGAAATTCGTTATGAGTGACTGAAGTTGTTATAAAAATGAATTTGCCAAGTTATATTGAAATCGGTACAGATTTGGATATAGCTCCCATATATATTTTCGGTCGATTTCATGTATTAGATACATTAAACACGCTGTGTGCAATGAAATTAGAAATTTGTCTAAAAAAATTGTTTTGCCAAATTCTATTGAAATCGGTACAGATTTGAATATAGCTCCCAAATACATATTTGGTCGATTCCATGTATTTGATGCACCAAAAACGCTATGTATCTCTAATTTCAATGAACTTTGGAATGTGTAACGGAGTTTATAACGAACATACATTTTCCAAATTATACTGAAATCGGTTCAAATTTGGATATATCTCCCATAAATATTTTCGACCGATTTCAGAAATTTGATGCGCCAAACACTATACGTATGTCCGATTCCAATGAAATTCGTTATGAGTGACTAAATTTGTTATAAAAATGAATTTGCCAAGTTATATTGAAATCGGTACAGATTTGGATATATCTCCCATATATACTTTGACCGATTTCGTTTATTTGTTGCATTAAACACGATGTCTATGTTCGATTCCAATGAAATTTGGAATACGTGACGGGATTTGATCAGAAATAAATTGGCAAATTGTATTGAAATCGTTTCTGATTTGGATACAGCTCTCATATATATTTTCGACCGATTTCACATATTTGATGTACCAAACACGGTATGTACCTCCAATTTCAATGAAATATGGAATCTGTGACTGAATTTGGTATATAAGTACATTTTATCAAATTATATTGAAATCGGCTCAGATTGGTATATAATTTTATTGAGAAGCATTCACGAGAAAGTATGTTGCTACCTCGAATTCACTAATTGCTAGAGAAATGCCACTCAATTTGTAGATTGCAATTTCCGGCACGCTTGGCAGTTGCTATTAAATTAATAAATCCGAAGCGGACTATATATGCCATGTTCAAATGTGGCAAAAATAATCAAAACACCGAATATCGGGAGGTACCGCTATATAGGGCTTTACAAAAACGTGGGCCTATACACACAATGTTTCTCCACGCGAACTAGGACCTATCATGACCTACAAATACCAATTCTCAGACAAATCCGTGAAAAAATGTGGCAAAAATCATCAAAATACCGAATATCGGGAGGTACCATTATATGGGGTCTATACCAAAACGTGGACCGATATATCTCATTTTCAATACCTACCATCCTAGACACAACACAAATTATTATGCTAAATTTTGGCGCTGTACGTACA